GCACGGGTTCCAACGCCTATGCCGGCCCCCTCTCCCCTTCGCCTTACTCAGCCCAGCCTAACTTATCTCAGAGCCTAGTCACTATCTGCACACGCTGGGCTGGGCCACACTCCCCGCTGCGCACGGTGCCTGAGCACAGTGAGGCCCCCGCTCTCCCTGTGCAGCCTGCCTGGGGCTTGCTGCCCGACCACGTCTGTGTTTCACAGCTATCAGCCATCAGCCTCAGCTCAGGCAAGGCCCACAGGGCCCTCCCTGAGCTAGAAGTTCCTGACCTTGACCTCACTGCCGACATCCTCCTGAGCCCGATCTGACCCGCGGGCCTCACACCGGTCCCGCTCCCGGTGCACTCTGACCCTTGTTTGCCCTCCTGCTCTGACCTGCATCTTGTTCTGTCTTCACAGGCCCTGTGCATGGGCGTGAGCCTAACCCTTCTGCCCCAACTCCTCCCTGGCCTCCAGCCCACTCAGGTTTTTGCGCCGGGCCTACCCCTGCTCTCAGGGCTGCCTCCAGTCCTTCCAGAAGTGGCCACCTGAGTCTTGGCCGTTCGGAAAGCAGAATGAAAATTCCAAAGAAAGCTCTTACAGCTTCTGCCCCAGAGCCCTCAATAAGAACGATGCTATTTCAATATGTGCCCAACTGGACCCCAAACAGAAGGAACCGTTTGGTAAACATGAAATGGACCCCAGTCACCTCCCTCCTGTACCATTTACAAAAAGTTTTTTCCTTTAATTCTTTAATGGAACAGTTTGAACTAGAAGTTGGATATTTCCTAAAACTATATATAGATCCAAAATAAAGCTGGGCCAGCACAGTACTTTCTGAATCAAACCAACACTTTCCTTAATGAGAGGCTCTGCAGGAAATATGCAGTGATGTTTCTCACTGTGACATTATGGTGACTAATGATAAATTGAGTCTTCAGAGGGGCTGAGGAACCTCCGCTGCATGGGATGAGCTAAGGTCCAGGTATGGCTTCTGTCACTGGTGCTATAAGACAAGGCAGCTCAGCACCAGCTGGAGCCATCCTTGAGGTAGGTTTTAAGAACTTTATACAACCGGGCTTCTGGAATTTCTCCATTGGACTGATTCTGCCACGAAGAAGGGAGCTTCACCGAAGCTTTGCTCCTCTGTCTCCACCATTCTGCACAACTATAGATGGAAACCAAGCTACGCTCAGAAAATGGAGGCAGAGTGTCCAGGGATGGGAGGAGGAGCACCAGCGTGTTCTCAGGGCAGCGAGGCAACAGGCAGAGAGAACAGAGATGTTGCCAAGGTCAAGTGGCAGGGAGAAGGGCCAGCCTGAGGCTCCCTGCTCTGCTGTGCGTGAGAAGATTACAGCGTGAGCTGAGGGAGAGCAGGGAGCTGAGAACAGCCAAGGCCAAATGGGAAAAGATGGAGCCAGCTGTTTAAGCGGCAATGACCTCAGGGCGCATTATTTTCTGGCCATTAACCATGGGCTGGAGGCAGTCAGGGCTCAGAGGTGCAGCTGCCTGGCCTGCTTGTGCAGAAAAGAGAGGATGTGGATTTGGGAGCCTCAAGCCATTCTTGCAACAAGATGTCACTGTTGGAAGGATGAAGGTGACCTCCATCCCTCCTGGCCCCAGCCCAGGGCTCACAGCCCGGGCCCTGCAGCCACAGCCTGCTGAATGCTGGGACTCAGCCACCGAACCTGGGGCTGTTCTCCGGGAGGACTCTGGGGTGTGCTCTGGCTGATGGCTGATGCTAATATCCAGCTCTGGCCCAAGGGGTCAGGAGCAGAGAAGAGAGCCAGGGCTGGGGCGAGGAAAGCTGGGTGACTGAGCGGGACAGCTGGAAGAGGGCGGGGGAGGTGCAACCAGGCCCGGGGAGGCAGGAGATATTCAAGAGAATCAACAGAAGGCAGCC